GATCTGATTTCCGTGCTTTGGACGTGCTATATTTCGTGCAGTCATGTGCAATCACGTGTAAAAATTTCTTATAGGGACACGGCTTTAGACATACCCAAATTTAGTTATACTGGGGGAATTCCGGTGTTATTATATAGTCTCAGGATAGTAAACTAGGGTTTTTGTCTCGTGAGTTATGGAGATAAGAATTCAAATAGAGAATTCGGAAGGAAGGAGAGGTACTTTGGCGTAAAAGAAATTGAATAGAAAAGATTATATATATGAGGTGGGGGGTGATAATTATGTGATCGAAAGTAAGGTATAAAGTTAATCAATGGAAGTATTAAGGTATTATGTGTCAATGTAAGGCTTAAATGTATCAGTGATTCGGTTAATTAATGCAACGATTAAATTAAGATTCAACTTAAATATATCAAACAATGCGATCAGTAAATTAATTAAACGATGTATTAAAATAATGTACGGGCAACAATATGTTAAATTAAGAGTCTAATAAACAATATAACAAGCATAGTTTAATGCTAACAAGCAGTGTAAGAGTTCGACAATACAAAACTAGTCTATTGTCAGAATATCTTCATTCCGTTATTTCAACTTTAATACAGTTATAATTTTACACGGCAATATTTCTTGTATCAATCGTATGGCTCTCTAGATGCCATACGTACGACATTTTAATTTTGTCGTAACACCGGTTGAACCAAATATTCAATCAAATTTACCGTATCTATGATCTGTACAGTGAGCTAATAATGATAACAGGTTAATCACTTTATAACAATTCTAACCAAAAAAAGAACAATTCTTGATTAAACTCGTGGTACAATATAAAAGGACTTTTTGGGAGAGTTTAAAGATTTAACAAAGTTTATCATTCAATTACCGATTACTAAAAGGACGGGACAATGAGTATGAAAAATGACATTTCAATTGATTGCTCATTTAAAACTTTTTACAAGCATAGTTAAAGCTGGCATCATTTTTTTTAAAACGGTTACCGCCTAATGTTAGCGACAATCCAGAGACAAGTGGTATTTGTTTGTGGAGTTTTAACTTCGTCATATAACTCTAGGAATTTTATATTAATATTATTACCTAATATTTAATAGAGTTTGATTGATTCGTTATGTATGAAATAATGATCATAATTAAAAATCGATCACATAATAAGGTAAAATTTCAATGTGATCGTGAAAGACAAACATGAATCTTAAGAATATTCTTGATTTTTACTTAAATTCTTTACTTCTCTTGCCTGCGCTTTTCTTTTCACCTCTTATTGTTTACATAATTTGTATTGGATTTGAACCTCTTTGGTTGTGGCGACAACTATTCTTACTTCTAACCTCCGGGTATGAATTCCTTTTTCTTTATATTAATTGGTAGCCTTATGGTCTAACAAATTTTTCTAATAGCAATCGACAGAAAGAACAAAAGGAATTATTACGGACATGTTTTTTTTTATTAATTAAGAAATAAAGATATGACTAACAATATATATCAAATTCTACTAATTTGCAATATGATTCATGTTCGTTTCTGGCGAAGGGATCCTATGGCGATTTTTTGATGTCTCTTGATATTCCAATATCATTATTCCTGACTGTGATCTAAAACAGTTTGAAAAAATTGCATTCTCAAATTCCCGCTTTCTTCAAATGAGTCTCATTGAGGGACAACTTGAGATCATCATGCCACCATTGCCAGTTCACGCTGAAACCGGTATGTTATGCTTTGTGTATTATATTGAGCTTGAATGTCAATAGATAGCCCTGACGATGAACAATTATTATTAGGTTATAGGGAAGCCGAAATTATTGGCCAGGTTGGCATGTGGAAAAAGCCAATAAAAGTTCAGTTGGGCTCTGTGGTTCTTCGCAGGTATAGTATATAAAAAATCATGGTAATTATTCTTTAAGTTGTTAATACTCCAATCACTTTAATTTTAGAGTGCCTTCAGGTTGCTTAAGCTAGAAAATTCTCCTGATAAACCCACTATTCTATCTCCCGATGTTTCCGTCGTTCTCAAAACAAGGTTTTTGAAAATAATTAAATATAAAGATAGTTTTATTTTTTAAAATTGTTAATTTATATTTTCCATTATTGTAGATGGGATTCTTTAACTAATGAAGACAAAAAAGAAGCATTCCCCCCAGTTGCCCCAAATTTCATCGTTGAGTTGCGTTCGTTAAGTGATTCCCCTCAATATCTTCATCAAAAAATGATTCATTGGGTGAACGCAGGTGTAGATGTAAGAAAATTAATGACAATTGATAATTGTTTATTAATTATATATTTGGTTAATTACTATTATAATGTTATCTAGGAGGGAATCTCCATAGACTTAATTACAAATCCACCGGAGGTTAGCATCTATACATTTAATTCTGACACTAATAAAGTCATTTGGAAATCATTAGTAAAACCCGATCAGGTTGAATCAGAAGTTCTCAAAGGGTTTGTTTTAGACATGCAAGAGATATATGAGATATATTGGCAATAAAAAAGTTACGTTACAAAATTTTGGAACCCGCCAATAAATCATATTGGTATGTACGTATGTACATACGACATTTTGTCGTAACACCTGTTGAACCAAATTACCGTTATTCGAAAATAATGTATACATATTATTCATTTTTTGAACATAGTACGTATTACTCACAATAAAACCAATAATAA